CGATATCGTCCGTGAATTCACAATCAGGGAGGAAAGCATCGGTGCCCAGCTGAAAACCAGAGTAATCGGTGAGCGCCTGACGCATTATCCAATTAGTGGTGTAGTTCAACAGCACTCGCGGTTTCGCCCCAAACCGGAATTGAAGAGGAAATCATTCCACTCCTCTCTGTAGATGCGTATTTGCGCAGTTTAGAAGTTTATGCAAACAATCTTGTCGCCCTTCTCTGGGAGAGGGAGTTATATTGAATTTTCCCAGTTCTTCAGGAATAATTTATTTTCCCAGAAAGGGTTTGCAGTGGCTTAAGCAATGTCAAAGTATATGATGTTTGTGATGCCCTTTCATCTAGAGCTTCGCGGTTATTCAGCTTGTGTATTACGTCGGTACTAACATCTCGGCTTCATAGGTTGCCAATAATGTCATAGATCTCCCTCTAGATGGCTGATATTTGGTTCACAAAGCTTGAAAATGGAAGGTTCAGTAAACTTTTGAAGTGTTCAATTCACCTTTGCGTTTCTTTTGCCTGTTATGAAGTGAGTAGTTCGGCAGCTCTGCGAGGGAAGGATTCTGCTTACTGTCGCCTACCGGATAAAGTACCTGTTGGGGGGAGGGTATTAGAGAAGATACTACAGTTGGCTACAGTCTCCATAGTTTCCGTATTTTCGGTCCAGTATTTGTTGCGATCACTTTCGGCCGGACGATTAGCTTCAGGTGGATACCTTTTTCGGAAAACTGGAAAGTCTCTCTTGAGATCCAGCCAAAAGCGGGTCATTGGATTGATGCCTTCAGTGAGGTCTACTGATCGTCCACTAGCACTTATTCTCACTCAAGAACCTGGTGGCTAGATGGGAGAGAATATTGTCTAAGAGGCCTTGGCGCTTTCTGTGACCCCAAAGCTGTTGTGTCAATTCACTTGGTGGCAAAGTTCATGCGTCAGTCTCGGAGTAGATCTTGAAATGTCCGTTGATTAAGATATGGTTGGTGCCAGTCTTGTTACCATGGTCTGTTGCATCCACAATCTTGAGGTTTGATTTAGGGCATTAGCTATGGAAAACAAGTCAGTACGTGAAAAGCCAAAACCTACAAGGCTAAGGGGGTTGAAAAGCTTTATGCCTGTCCCCAAGTAGGATTTTTTGACGCGTAATCTTCTTTGACGCCGGTGTTGGTTGGGAGATGAGTAAGGGTGTCCAGTGCGTGACGTGGAAGAAAAGTGAGGAAAACCGGGCCAGTGCTACCAACATAACGAACACACTCACACGACCAAATTCGTGCAACTGAACAAGCATCAAGCTAGGTGGCGTCACTTGCTCCAGCCGTCCTGTGTCCGCATGCTTTTATGTTCTTCGAGTGCACACATTATTCGTTGCAGCAATAGGTTGTTTTCGTCTGTACGCTGCCCAGTACCGTTGTTATCGTGTTGTCAACCAAGATCTGACTGTAAAAGACAATGATTAGGAGCAGGTTCGACTAAACCTGGGACATTCCTAAGAACTCAGCCATGTAGGGCGGGCTGAACCTCCTGGAAAGGGTCTGATAAATCCCCTACTCACTGGTTGAATACGTTGGAGAATATGGCTAGGCGCCGCTACCAAGACGCTCTTGCTTTCACAAACTTACTTTATAAATTTAACACTGCAGTTTGGAGTCCCTAATAATTTGTATACTCCTGATATTTCGAGTTTCGATTGTGGTTTGCGCTGAGATATATGAACCGGACCCGCAGCCTTCCGTGTACATTTTTTGAGGGTGCAGCTGAGATGAAATTGGTCATTTACTTTACACTCAATTTCAAAGAAGGGACTAAAAACCGAGGGATGATTTTAGGTAGAATACTTGCATTGTTCAGCTAATATTCTAGTTGATCACCACTGTATTTGCCCTCCCGCGTTGTGACAAATGGAATGTACCTCTAGTCCTTAATTATTCAGATAACAGAGAGAATTAATTGTCTAATCGTCGTAGAACTACGATTTTGCGCAAAACAAATGGATCATTTGGTTGAGCCATAGATGTTTCCGGATCAACCCACATCGACTTTACCGCTAGCAATTACCTCCGCATTCCGAATATACAAGGAGATCAAAAAGTATGAATTCGTAGCTGACCGTTTCCGGCGCTAAGGAACTGTCTCTATTTTAGGACTCACGTTTTAGGCTGCTGGTTCTTGGTGCCACTCCTAACACAGTTTCAGTATGAAATAAGTGACTGCTATTTCCAACGGGGGATTTCTCGGACACTGGTTTACCACTGATTAGTTTGAAATTCCGTGCCTTCTATTTTCTATTCTGCACCCACGCATGAGTTTAATACTATCAGAATAAGACCTATCAACGGAATCTCATTGCAATTTCAGTGAGAATGAGCAACTATAACTTTGAGAGCTACTTCAGACTTCAAAAAAATTAGTCGCGGTAATACGCAGAGAGACAGTTGGACTAGATAATACATATTCGCCCAAATACTTGATAGTCTAACGGTTGCCACTAGATCAGAACCGGTCAGTTATTCCGTCTGGTTTTCTTAGGAAAGCCATCATCTATAAAATGCGGTACCAAAACAATTAGAACCACGTGATATGCTGGGCGGAGGAGCTTATAAGAATCAAATTTCTCTCTTTAATAAATGCAATACGGTAGAAAATGAAGGTTCAGAATGGGATGAGATGATGCTCTTTTCTTTAAGATCAGTATTAAAAGGTTTTTTATTCTTGGCGATTGCGGTGGCGAAGCGTGAAACCAAATTACCGCCATGTCATTAGCAGCAGTAGATGAGGGAGAAGTCCGACACACTGGGCGTAAAATTAATGGTAAAATCCGCATTGAGTGCTAGACCGGTCGATAGACGTACATCATAAGAGATACCGCGAATCTAATGCGTGACGTAATGAAACAAAAAGCTCCACGTACACTTCACTCTAGTTCTCCTCTGTTTTTTTAGCGCTATCCGTGAACTGTGAACGAGGTTTACGAGTTGTTTTCACATTATTGCCTTCTTCAAAGAATGCAACATCGGTGGTAGAACCCACCAATATATGGTCGTGTCGTAACGCACATAATCTTCGGCAAATATGACTGTGTCCTCGGGTAGTGGGTAATTTAAATGTTTAATAGAAAGGGCTACACGAATAAAATAGTCAGCAACTTACCTGCCTTAAACCTGTGCCGTCATTTTACACCGTACGTGAGGGGCAATGACCGAAGTTAGCTGTATACATAAACTTTGGGTAGTGGTGGGGATTCTGACCAAATCTCGTCGCGAATACAGGGAGTAGGTCCAAATTTTTCTGTCTATAAATCAGATTGTTTGCAGCACTACTTGGAATGTGTAAGACCATTGTAACCACGATAATGTGATAAGGCGGGGAGTGCTTGGAATTAAGTCAGTCTTTGGACCGACAATTAAATTCCAGGGACTCACAGGTCTAAAAATGTGCGCATGTTTTCAGATGTGTTTCAGTCAGGGGTCAGTTGAAGAGTGGATCGGAGTGGTTTGTCCATTATATGGTTAAGATATATAGAATCAATAACCAGTGGACATGGCCGTGTAGGATGTCTTAGGCTTTCGGACTGGAGCCTACAAAGTCCTCCCACCATATAAATGAAAACACTAGTCAACATCACCAGTCGCTATAGTCACTGACAGCTTTGCACCTTAGTGGTTTTTTCGTTCACTGGGTTTATTCAGGCTAGGTCGGGGAACAACTTTCATAGATTAGAAATCTATAGTCTTTCCTGTCACTTATTAGCAATTGTCCTCCCTTTGGTAGTAATCTCTGATGGTTATTAAGTGACCACGGACTACGGTGGGGTGAGCACACCGTATAGAAAATAGACTATATGGTCTACACCTAGTACCCCTATCCGGGCCTACAATTATCAGCCTCAATCTCTGCTCATATAGTATATTACATAACTCAGAGCACACGGAAGATGTCGTGCTTCTGAGTCAAGATTCAGAAAGGTTGGAAATGCCTTCAGGTATTCTCAAAACAGCGTGGCCATGTTTGGAATGCGCTTCACAATTTCAAAATACACAATGCTGCTTCGTGACTGGGCCGGCCCCATAACAAATGTTGTCCTAACCGAGGGAACAATAACTGAGCTAGATATGTATCGTTAACTGAGGAGTTACATCTTGACAGATGGTCACAAATCGGGCGCAGGGTACTCGTGTATACATTCGACTTTTACCAATTATAGACACCTGTAGTGTCGACATGAAATCCGGTTTTCCGCCATGGGTCGCTTATAAAACGTAACGAATACATTAGTTCTCCTAACTGGCTTAAAAACATTTCCCTTATGGTTGGGAGATACGTGAAGGCTCTCGACGTTTGTATCCATAGCTTCGCAGTACTTATCGATCATGGTGGAAACACTGTTTCCGCAGTTTTGAGGTTACGCTTAGGGCGTTGAGAACTATAGACAAGTTTCTACATCAAGCACTTATTCTAAGGTGGTTTGGACATGCGTTGCACCTGTCCAAATATAGACTTTTTCTGTTGGCGGGTAGCGGTTGGAAGGGGAGTGGAGCTGGCCAGTGCGTGACACATTTCGTTGAGTATGATGTTTTAGGCTTCCGATTTGTTGTTCTCGAGATCCACCCATCAGATGATCAGAAACGTTAGGTGACAGGGATAGATGTCACGGTCAGTCACGTAGTTGCAATGCAGCTTGTCTTTCATCTTGATGATTTCCACTTACAAGGTTGTTTTTCGAGTTTTTCTGCTATGTACATCTTAAGATAGCAACAAAAACAAAGTTGTATTTTAAGATAAATTACCAGAAATCTTCCACCGTTTTCAGTCTACAAATGTATGATACAAGAAACCTCATGAACAGAGGCTGAGCAAGTGCTTTACCAGGTATTATTACTTACAGTAGTCGAACAGTAATGTGACTGCACTCAGCCTGGCCATTACAATCTGAGTGCGATGATATTTATTTAAGGGAGTGAACCCGACGAATGATTAAATAAGTAAATTCGTGTCCCCATTCCACAGGTGGATTTTGTGAATTCAGGCGGGCATATTCCCATTTGTGTGAGAAGACTTTGGGTTTATTCGCCACCCCTCGAACGGTGTCCGTTGACGGAAGTTTGCGATCCGCGTCCACTCCGCCCTCGACTGGTGCTTCCGCCGTAGATTCTCCCAAGGAGCGGCCTCCTGAACCTCGATCGGTAAACAGTTCCCTCAATTTCAATTCCTTTCTCCTGCCCGGATTAACGTTCTCCTTTGAAACGGTGCAAGGAGCAGCTGGAGGGGTTTTGTCCCAATCAAATGATTTTCCTCGTTACCTTGTCAGTCCGACCAGTGTGCGAACATCGGAATTCTTTTTTCCCACAGAAGACGATTCACGGACTCCAAAGGACGTGTATCGTGTCAAAGCCAGTCGTATACTGCCATTTCTTTATTTGGGTACGTTGATATTTGCAAATTTGATCCGTGTCGTAAAAGTAACCTTTTTAGCTTTTCAGCGACATTTGACACCGGCAACGAAAGTGGAATAAGGTTTAATTCTTAGACTCAAGTCATGGGAATATTTGATTAGTACCAAGACCGACCGATGGCAGCAGAATAGACATCCAATATTCAGCGTATGTGACCTCAGTGAGCAAATGTAGACTGAATTTATCTTCCCCGTTAAGTCAGTCATCAAAGTGAGCCTTTCGAGTTGTTTCAACGCAAGCGACGCAAACTTATTTGTGGTGTTTGTGCACGCTGAAGCTGGCGATAGACGCGATTGCGGGATGCACTTGTGCCCTCTTTCTGTCTGTCTGTCCGTCTTGTTTGCCTACCATCTCCTTTCACTCGCACTGGATTACCCGTCGCTGTTTTTGTCTTTTTGTAGTTGATTATCCGCCGGATGTATCCGTCATGCCTCATCGATCGTTCTTTTTGTTGAGGTCGATCTGGTCACGCGAACTGTTCTGCATCATCCACGGACCGTTAGGCGCGTGTTGTAAACCTCGTTGCTTTGAAAGCCCACTTATCTTTAGTGAACGGAATTCATTCAAGACTTAGTCCGTTCGAAAAGAATCTGTCATCATGATTGTTCATGCAGATGCAAATTAATCACTTTTGTTATCATTCACCGGCCTTTGACATGTAGAAACCGTCAGGTTACAAAACTCACGTACAAAAGTCGCATTTTGCAACTATTTTTGCATAAATTTTGGATACTGATCAAACCATATGACTATAGTACTCAAAATTATTGTTCATAGCAGCGATTTGTTACCCATTCCAGGGTAAACATATTTGGTTCGAGACTTTTCGATATTCCATGATAGGTACATTGTTTCCGCAAGTGCAGAAAGCACATTGCTGTTTCAGGGAATCTGATAGTAGGCACACTTTTAGTTCTTCCAATATGTTGGTATCTTCTGCTCGATTTCCGTATGCAAGCACCGTCTTTCCTTCAGTCACAGCTTTGAAAACAATTATCTTCACTGCGATTTCTCTGCGGCAATGCTCGGCATCCAGTTTGTTATCAGTTTCTCCCCCACCCTCAGTCCACGTGGTCCAAACTACCCTAAGTTACCCCTGTGAACATTTCGTACGTATGCGGCTCGAGTTACAACTCAGCCCATCCTGCTTGATTACATTAGGCTTGCCCTGAATACCATTTACATTTCGAGTGCCCCTTTATCCGATTCTATTCTTGACGGAGTCCAACGCAGCCTTACCCACCGAGTCACGATTTATTATTCCCTAATCGCGGTTCCACAGCTTTTCACCCCACCAGCCAGTAGTTGTTTCCCTTAACATAGTTTTTCTTCCTGAATTCCAGAGTAGTCCTCATCTTATACCTCTGAAAACCGCTAAGGGTCAACTGATAATCATCTCAAAAGTAAAACCTTGACACCGGTCAATTTCCCATTTGGCATTCTTGCATTGGCTTCAGCCACCTGCCGAAAATATTGTATATTGTTGCATAAGAGAATAAAAGTTATTAAAAAAAGTTGTCATTTACTTGTAAAACCTCCGACGGTTATCTTTGAATCATTCCTTCCCAGAGCCCCAGAACTTTGAGACATCCAATCACTCATTGTTCTGATCTCTTCAAAAGCAGAACCGATACATTTTCATTTCTGATCAAGTCATCTTAACCTTAATATACAATAGGCCCATTTAATCACACCGTTCACCGTTTTTACTAATTAGTGATAAAAGCTGACAGACTGTGTCATTTTTTGTGCTATTAATCATACTTAGATATCACTCCCTCTCCCCTTTCCTTTTAGGCAATGAAATCGATTGTAGCAGTGAACAATTCCTTAGTTCCTGTCGAATCAGATCCGTACTGAATGTAACAAACAAAGTTCCTTTTCTGGACGAAAAACGATTCCGGTGTTGTCGCCTTCCGGCAATCGATATGCAAACCCAAGACCTACGCCCGTTGTTCACCTCAGCCTTCGAGTTTATTGGTAAGTGCTTGACTAGCACGCATGTCCTGCGTTCATTTCCAAAGAACCCTGCTCTCTGTTTTAACCAGCCAGTTTGATACCGGATTTTGTAGCGTTTTGTATCAGTCTTACGGGCCTGCAGCACTAAAGCTCCCAGTATAACTAACATAGCTTTCCAATAAAGCCACTACTTTAATGACTCAGGGATATGTGTGCTATTGTTTGGAAAGGGAACTCACATCACCTATGTACAGGCTCCGCGTACACTGAATCGTAACCACACTATCATAACGATGGCATTTCTGTTATATGTCTACTGCACGTGTTCGGACAAATGATCCTGAAATTGTTCGTTTTTTATTTGGTCCAGTTACAGCATTTCCCGTCTAGCAGCATAATGATTTCATGAACCTTGTTGTTGTTCTGTAGCACAGAACCGAGACAGACATATTGGTTGCTACACAACACTTGAATCGATTGCAAATCATTGTCATTTCGGCATATTCAGCATGTGTGCGTTCTGTGAGGTCAGTTGCATCCACACACTCAGCGTCAAACACATGTTAGTTTTGGACTAAATTCTGGACTGCAAAATGTTGCATGCATAATGCGAGGGGTTTGCCAAACCAGAAAGAAAAATGTACCGCCTCGAAATCTGATGCGAAGTAACAACTAACTTTATCCACCAAGAATGGAAGTTTCAGCTTGCATCTTTATCCTTGTTCATTCTTCATCAAGAGTCACGATACATTTCACACCAACTGGTACTGTATTTGCACCCCAAGATTGTGATGCTTGGCTGCCCGGAACCCATGGGTCATATATAATCACCTTCATGATCAATCGATCGAAACCAGTAACAAACCGTTTTTTCACTTTCAAGGGAGCTTGACTCACGGCTCCAAAGTCCAATGCTGGTGTTGGGTAGATACCTGCTTCTGATGCCAGTATTACTTTCACACGTGATGTTTATCACCATTACATGTCGCCGTATCAAAGCAACTGATTCTTTTCAATGGTACCAAGGGACCTCATCACAATTATATTTGGTCTAATTACGTAGTCTAAAACAAGGAACATGTTTAACTTATTATTGAGTAAGAAACACACAGGTCACTCCTCACATGCTACTCTGATACGTGACCGGTTGAGAGGTATGCAAAAACTATCGGTGACTGAGTATCTGTGTCTTATCAGTATCTCTCGGATAAGATAGGAAAATGGAGTCAGCGTTACCAAGGTTAAACGTAGGGTGTTGGGAACCAGAGGTCAGGCTCTAAACCAAGTGAATAATTTAAACAAGTTAAAACTATTTGGTCATGTATTCTGCATAGTCACAGATGTGTGCATTTCCTTCGAGTTCGGTATTGATTAGGTGGGTCAAGACGAGCATCATGGAAACTTTGACCAGTAGATTTTGCCCAGATCCGCCCACCGGATGGTCGAAGACAGCTCCCATGGTTAGGCGCCGCGGTCAGTAGCGTAATATCATTTGAATTCTTTCTTTATCTATAAGATCTCCACTCAAACATTTTCCTGTTCTTTTTTCTTCTGCTTCTGTTTCGTTTTGCTGACAATGAATTGAGTTCAAAACCTGGACTCGATTACATAAACGCAAAATTGCTGGACGGAATCACTGAACTGAAGTTTCGAGATTTACGTACCAGCGTTATAAGTTTGAATTTATTTTACTGTATTGCACGGGAGACTGCAGCAAGTTACCAAACTCACTTTTCACCCAAATGGAGGGAAACTGACCACCTCAACTTTGAAATTAGCATAATATCAGATGCTGGAAAAATAAAACTGGTTCAGCCTCCGAAGTTCGTGTGAAGTCCCTGTGGAATGTTCATCTTGTCAACCAGCACACCTACTATGCAAGGCACCGTAGAATTACGATAGACAATTATTCAGGAGGGGGTAAGTTTAAAAGCGTAACGTGTGGAGGGATGCAAAATGCACGCGAATAGATCATTGTACGGGGAATGGGTGGGGTCCACAAAAATCTTGGAGAATTGTTCACCTATGATACTTTTCCATATTTTAGTGGTTACGATCTTGGTTTCTCAAAACAAAAAAGTTATATATGTACGTATGGCCATAAGATAAATTTCCATAATTATGGTGTTGATACCTAAGCATGTTCATTTTGTATACGAACCCAACAGGGGGACAACACCGCCCACTAACTCCCAGCGCATGCAATTATGGGAAAAGTGGGCTTCTTGGATCCTACTTCAAAGAGTCTAGAGCACCACGAATTCTGAATCAAATCCTTACCTTTCATCTGGTGATCACAATTTGCAGCTCTGCCACACATTGATCACTTCAGGCTATCGTCAGTTCCAATCATATTGAGAAGCGAGCATTCTTGAAGGAGCATCAAGTATCCACTCAGTTCCCGATTATTTTTCCGTTCTCGAATAACGGTAGTTCCGTTTCAATAACATTTATGACCATCAAATAGATCGTGTAGCGACTTGTTGTCTGTGACTTACTACGTGGCACGATTCATGCACGTGTGCGCACGTATACGAGAAAGGCAGCTAGACGAATCAGTGACCGCTCGTACCGCGCATGATCCACGTGACTGTGGGCAGGCGGGATCGATTGGTCCCACAGGCTCGGCAGCCCACCACGCCCACATTTCGGCACACTACCGGTCTTTCGTACGGATAGCGTCATACGCACGTGGGCGCAGCTCGTTTTGTGAACTGAGGCAGTCCAAAACCACTGAGTAGAAAATGAATGATATTTGCGGCGTGTAGTTGTCACCTCACAATCAAATACTCTTGTTCAAATCAGTGCAGCTGTCGTGAACATTATCTTCAGAGTAACACGAAAGATCCCGTCAGTTTTTTGAACGGCAGTTCTTGTACTTTTGATGTAAAGTCTGGTCCTTTTCGGATCGCTCAGACGAACGTATCACTTTCGTGGTCATAATGGCAGTTTTTTTGTCGTAACTCTGAAATCAGAATAGTAATTGAGCAACCACATTATAATCCACTAAGAGGGACATAGGGTGACGATTTTATAATTTCTGTGATACAAATGCGGAGGTCTTAATCCAATCTCTATTAAATATTTTACTTTATACCTAATTTGAAGTGGGAAAATATTGATATAACATTTGGTGTCTATTATTGTGTTTACTCATGGGAAATTATACAGACTAATGATTTATTACCCGGGATTGTGGATCTGGAGTTAGTCAGTCGTTGTTGTTCGGATTACGGGAATGATCGTTCACCAGGCCAAGCATCAACAAGACGATAACTGATATCAACAATAAACTAACAGGCTCATTTCTATGTGGTTTCTCGCAAGCAGCTCTATGATTGTCATTCTGATCTCGCCATTTTCTTCGGCCTTCTTAACTTTCTTTGTATAATCAACTGACTTCGCGTTGGGCTAGAGTGGCCGGTACACCGCTGTTGCGAAGTGATAACCGCGACTGATATTCGGATATCTTGGTGGATCTCGTGTTCCTCTTGTTTGGACAGTTCCCGTGAAAACAGGTTTTTTGGACTAAAATAGCAGCCCTGATTTGATTGTACTCTTTTGTGAGCTACCGTTATAAACAGGTTCCGATAGGTATTCACGCCTGTTGTCTGTGAAAAATGATACATAGAGACTAGGACTCATATTATACATTTTTGTTGTCAGCTTTTTCAGGTTGTAGTAATAAGCTTTCAGAGACATTTAAACGTCACGTGGAGCAGTTCAGTCAGTCATGGAGTGTGTGTGTCTGTTTATCTACTTTCGTCACTAACCGGAATCGGATGTTATGACTGTTCTGTGTAATTGATCAGAGAGCGAGTGTAGTAGGCATTTACTAATTTAATTTTACTGGCCTACCTGAGATGGGATTTCTCCACAATGAGAACGACATACGTGCGTACGTATGGTTTTAGACAGACACACCGGACCAAATTTATTCCAAAAAGCTGACGGGCAAACCTCATAGTTGTTTGTGCACACCGAAATATACTCTAACAAACCAAAGCAGTGTTGTGCTGTTAGGAACCTCAAGTGTAATAATCATTGCCGGAACAGTGAATAGTGTTCATGTGTATGCAATGAAACACATCCGACCAAAGATATTCTTCTAGGCTGCTGGTTGCACATTACGTACTATTCTAATTCGTTGTCCGTAAAGAGTTAGGTAGACAAATTAGCCATCCGTCACATGCTTGAGTCGGCTATACCCGGCCATATCTCATTTACCAAAATTATAAAAGCTTGTTTATGGATATTGCCCACAGTTATCTGAGTAGGCCGATTAGTCGGCAAGATAAAAGGCACTGTTGATTTGTTTACCGTTTTGACCACGCATTTTATCTCACTGATGTTTCACTGTACCGCAATTTTCGAAACTTCTTCCGCCCGAGTGAGTAGGGTTTAAACCGCTACTTCACCACCATGGGTAATTCATGATGGGTAAATATCCACAAGAGAATGTTGAAAAAAAGTTTCATTCAAGCACAGTTTCTTTTGTAAATATTTGTCAGTAGGTAACATAACGTTATTTACTGTCGCGAAAGGTTGTCTGTGGATGCCGGAAAGTTGCCTAAGTATCCACTCTCCCAACAGCTCTTTGTTGCTGTCTAATAAACAGTTATAAATGACGCATTACATGACTGGTTTTTCGTTGCAGTCCGAATCACACTCGGTTCCAATACACGGGAGTTGACTTGTTTCGGGTCAAGTCAAGTCAGTAGTAGCTTTGTGCACTCGAATGTGTGGATTTCCAGCATCTGCACCATATCACTGAGCATAAAAATACGGGGATCGAGAAATAGTTAAAAACTATCGTAGTCTTCATTCCAGTGAACAGTTCCGTAAGTCTGTGATGACCCTCACTGGATCAACTAGCCGACGAGCACTATACGGTTAAACTCGACTGCAATACACAAAAGTGAACTTTGAGCACTTACAGTATGCAGACACGCCTTTTGAAACTCGTTAGATAGAGGATAATGTGTCTAAAACTATACTGGAATTAAACTGGCCACAAACTTGGGAGTGCTTACCAGTGATCGCATCAACAAGTGTATCTCTGTATATGACACTGTATTTGGAGATGTGTTTCATAGATCATATCAACAGGCTTAAATTTGTCTGCAATAGTCGGAGAGCAAAACAACCAATATGGAAGAAGGCATGCAATCACAAATTTAAAAATTAACTGATTAGGTTTAAAAAGTAATCTTAGACGGAGAAAGAAAAATGAGACCTTTCTGCCTTTACAAAAAGTCCTTTGAAAATGCATGGACCAGGATACATAGCCTTTGGTGATAATGGCATGGATTCATTATTCGCAGATGGGAGGGGAACCTGGTAGTGAGAGGTCATCAAAAGGTAATGAAAATAATACAACGTGGCATTTAGAAGTATTCAATACAAGGTACCGGGATGAGGACCAGTTGACAACTTCGTTTAGTTTGATCACAATTTGGGAAGTTCTTTCGGGTGTCGGTAATTCACAACCTAAAACTACATCTTTGGTGTAATTGTACCCAATGAATATCGACGGGATTGAAAGTTGTTTGCCGTACAAAAAGAAGAAAAAGTGGAAAAATTGCTCCTTGTATTGCACTAGATTCAACTGGAAGAGAAGAAGACTTTTGCTTACTGAAACTAGTGAAATGTCTTCAATCAAATAAGTAGCCTGAAACCAGCCTCTGGATGTTTGGGTCAAAACCATTTTCGGGTAGCTTAGTGAGTATGACTGATCGATCGAGGTATTTAAATACGATTTTGTAATCTAGAACACTACTATGTGGAGGTATTTCCCGGATTCTTTCTTAGGGATAAGGCTTATCTTGGCTAGTCTCCAAATGCCAGGGCTTTATCCGCTTTGTAGACAGCTACTGAAGATATTGGCTAGTGAAGCGGAGAGGGTGTCAGAACGCTTCTTGAATACAACAGGAGACAGCTCATCTGAACCAGGAACTTTGCTCATCCTTGCCTTGTACAGCTGTTGGAAGACCATAGAGAAATCGTTAGTTGGTGGCTGAGATGAGTCATTGAAGACTGGCACGGAGGTAGACTGCGGTACTGAGCTGAAATCTGGGTTGAGTTTTCCAATATCAATGTTTTCTTTTTCTTTCTTGAGTTACTGACACATAGGTGTTTATTGACTTTCCACATGACATGACAACCGATTTTTCCTAAGATGGTATCTATACACCACTTATTCAGCAGTTTGACTTGAGATTTTGATCAAGATGGCGAATTTTTGACCTACTTTCTTTGTTCATGTTTGTAAGTTAGCTCTTTCTTTCTTCGCAGCTCTTTAAGTAATGGTGAACATTATCAACCAGTTTGGACTTAGAAAGTTCCACATGAACAACAGTGAAAAAAGCAGAACTTGAGGTAATCGGTGATATGTTCACAACAGACAAAATGGTTAGCATTTGAAAGCACGGAAAATTGGATGAGGTAACCTGACCAGATTGTCGGGTGAACATTTTCTCTGATTACCTTTTCTAGAAGGGCGTTTTAACGCAGTGTACCGGCTGATCACACTGTGCACGGTTGAACATATTTTCGAGATACAGTGATCAGAGCGGATCAGGAGTGCACTTTTCTAAACACTGAACAACTGTGGTCTACTTGTCAAATCGTGACGTATATGTACGTCAGGTCTGATGGAGAAACGTACCAAATATATAAAGCCAGGCTTGGTTAAAAAGGGAACATCATGCCTGTTAAAGTCGCCGGCAATTACACCAAGGGATTCACTCAAGTGTGCAATTACTGAGGTCGAAAAAATAGGAAATATGGCCTAAATGTTGTCAAATGGTATAATGATATGATGTGTGAATATATTTAGCTGTTTGCATATAGTATTACCTTTGTCCCTGAAATCGCCATTGAAGACAGGGCCAAATTATATATATATAAAATACAATAAAGCCAATAAATTCATAGGGAATCAGGAATACTGACCTCCGATTTGCGTTCCTCCGTCGAATGACTCATTGCACAGAACCGCTTGAAGCTTTGTGTGGCTCTGCATCCCCATTCTCCCTCTGATAATGCAATGGGCCCTAATATAGTTCAACATACCCCTTTTGTTCATGTATGGGATTAGAAAACCGCTGTTTCCACGTCCTGGTTCTCTGGAATGTGTGGACCTCTAGGTCGGAAGGTAGAAGTCCTTCATTTGATAAACAATGCATCGGTGCGGATCACCCCGAGTGGTGGCAGATGAAACCCACAACTGCCTCTGTAAAGGCAATAAGTTGACATTGTGGAGTGACCTATTCGAGGCCCACACAGGCAGTTTAACGTGAATGTTGTGTGTGACAGCATGTCTCGCCTAAGAAACTTCCATTTTTCGTTCAGTTTTGTCCCTCCTAACTAAGAATTAACTAATCCATAGTCAGGAAAAGAGCAAAATACTTTTTTACAGAGGATAATCCCCAGGCTGATCATGGGATTCCTCTTAGAATCCAAATCACTGTGTTCTTCAGATGTTATGGTAGTTACATTTTACACGTGAACTACGCCCAATATGTGGTCTGCGTTTGTTAATCATATACAAAATGAGTGGGAGTGAGATAAAAACAGCCCAACTTGTTTGCAGTTCACACTGCAACTTCTGGGTCAGAAATTCACAAAATCCACCCACACTTACAGTACATATGTGAGCTCGACGTCCCCTGTCTATCCGATAAAGTTGGAACCTTTTCAGCTTATTCTATCACATTTCCCTGATAACAAATTCACAAATCAAAAATGTCCTTATTACAAAATTATCCTGCATTCTATGTGCGCTCGAGCGTGATTCGTCCTGATCGAACAACTCTTTTTGTTGTTCTTTCAATGGGTCACGTGTTTGCTCTAATTATGTTTCATGGTCGGTGGGAACAAAGCTCCTAATCACATGCTGGAGAAATTTCGAGTAATTTCTCCAACAGTTATTCATACGTTTAATCCCAATAATGTATTTTATTTTGCCAGAACAATCCCGGCAAGCTGGCGATTCAGTCCTAGTGCATTGTCAAGCTGGTATCTCGCGATCTCCGGCACTCGTGATTGCCTATTTGATGGCACATTCCGGTCTATCTCTGCGAGATGCCTATCGATGGGTCAAATCCAAACGTTCAGTGATCTCGCCCAATTTTGCATTTCTTGGTCAGCTTTGTGATTTTGAAGCAGACCTGGTTTCTGGTCGTGTTCCTCGTAAACCAGACACGTTGGATGGATTGATCACGTTGCCCGAGGAATCACGTGATGTGGACGACTTCCTCTCCCTTTCTATCGACAATTACACATCCACACGTGCGTCCTCTGTGGAATCCGTAGAGGATGCTACTAACGTCACCGTTAGCTCGATGGAATCCACTGGACCTTAAGAGGAATCACTACAAATTGCTAGCCCGCAGTTTTCAATGAGCTGTTGTATATGATCTCCATTTTGTAAAATTTGATGCTTTTCTCCAAACATTTTTCTTAGCCCGTTCTACTTTTTAGATTTAATATCTCTATTGGATCTGGTTCTCTTGATTCGAACTCATTTCCACTGCAGTTCTAGTTCTAATTGCTCAGGGGCGTAGACCTACCAAACACCTAATTCTATCCACCCCAAATCTATTCTTCGAAAATGACGTGCAATCGATTTCTTTGTATGATAGCTTCATACCAATTCATCCCTCCAGTTGAACGCTAACAGAACTGCCTCTTGCTTTTGTCTGAATACGCAAAGACCGCTTATCTTAACTTGGAATATCGGTGGTGTTCGCATCTCAAAATGATGGTTTTCTATTTGCTTTGAATTGCTTAGCGTGATATTTGTATCTGCAAAATCGCCATGCGGAAATACAGTGCTGCTATTTTCTAAACACAAAGCTCAGTGGGTACGTTATTTTTGTATTCTCATGTGGATAACTTCTGCTAGAGTAGGAACTGGCTTCATGTATTTCCTGAACGGCATCTGCTCATGAGCGACGAACGTATGCAAGACCTGAGCACAAGGAAATCCCGTTCTGCTTCCAGTTATGAACGCCATAGAGAGATTTGAGTCCTAATCACTCAACATCTGATTTGACAGCACTGACCCGTGTTTTCAGCTGTTCTACAAGGCGATAGCCTTATCTTTGACATAATAATGAGGAGAGAAAGTCTTTAGATATCTACGTATTCCGGTTGTCAAAGCACTGTTGTCTTACTGCGTCTTTCGAAAGCGTTTATTGCCAAGCCACTTTCAGTATCCGTCGCAGACAACAGTGGTAAAACACCCCAGTCATTATAATTTCCTCCACGCGTAATAACCAGTTTTTGCAGCCATAAGTCAGTATTTGACGGACAGCAACTCGGAAGACCCAAATTTTTCGTCTGGAGACTGGTTTCACTGCCCTCTCAGAGTGCATCTTGGAGCTAAAGAAACGCAATCCTGGCACTATCAATGCTCGACTTGACTTCGTTTTTGGCTGAACCATTTGGGAGCATCCTGGAGACCAGATATTTGAACGCCAGGAAGAAATCGATTCGTTTGCGGCTCATACATATCAGAAGAGTGGACTGCGTAGCATATGCCGAAGAATCTTGGTCTTCAATGTACTGATCTCTAGTCCCATTGGTTTTGCTAACGATTCTACGCGATTCAAAACCCGCTGTTAGGTCCCTGCAGCTGTTTTTAGGATGAAGATATAGTATGTCAATTCCACATTGACGAAGAAGATATCGGTGCCCAGCTGAATACCAAGGTAATCGATGAGCGCCTGATTCACTTTCCAATTATTGGTGGGGTTTACCAGTACTGAAGACAACGGGGATACGCTTCTTCAGTTTTCTGCAGATATTCGGTTATTCCTGTTAGGTACACTTTTTCGACACAGCTCGAGTCGCACAGCGACATGGCGCTGTGACTCCACAGATATTCTAAGCCAGATCGGTTGTATTGCAATAAGCTACCGGTGGCACAGTACTGTTTAAAACTGCAGTCCTACTGGCTACTTACGTAGAGTTGGGTCGTGCATTAGTTTTGATGCCATTATCGCTCCAACTCCATGATCATCGACGAAAAACGCAAACCCGGTAAGTCATAGAACGATGGTGTGGTCTAGAAGTTCGCATCATTCATGGACAGAAAATATCACACGAGCTAGGATCTACGGCGAACGGTATTGCAAAGGAGCAATAGGTCCATATCAAATAGACGGTATACATGGCACCAGGTTTCGCCTATAATCCTAGATCCGATGCCTTTAAAGACATTGGATTTCTCAAGGCTCTCTCAGTCTTATAGATAAGAATCACCGGCTACTGAATGGTAACGGAACGAATAAGATCCAAGGATAGCTACACAGGCAAATCACAACGCCCTTAAGAAGTCTGGAAAAAATTGATGGGTCAAGGTAGCTGGATAAATGAAGGTAGCAGCCGCTTCAGGTATGAACCAAAGACTGTTCAAGTTTATTCGTGACACCGGTGGACAGCTAACTACGGTCAGTGAAAAGATATGCGATAGAAATGGGCAGGTTTTCCATGGCAAAAGAAAAGGTTGGGCCTTTGAGCGGAATACTTCAAGGAGTAGTTTAGCTGGTCGCGCGGTAATGTAGTTACCCCTATTTCAACAACTGCGATTTCTTGGGGAGTGTCACTTGAGCACCCAACTGAAGTGGAAGTGGAGTCATGTATAAGATTACTGAAGCATGGGAAAGAGGCCGGTCCAGAAGAACTTCCTCCAGTTCTTTTCGGAATGGATGGTGACGCGTAGATGAAATCACTCACCTCCTTTGAGCATGCAGCGTAATCAGCTTTACTGGGGCCAGTCATTGATTGTACCCATCTTTAGGAAGGGAATACTTGATGATTGTACTAATCATCGCAGATCCGCTTGAGTTCCGATAGCCATCAAGGTATTCGCCTCGATTTCACTGAGCCGACTGACACCAGAATGCGATGGGAAAGCCCGCGAACAATGGGCCGGATTCCGCCTCACTTCGAGGATGCATCGACCAGATTTTTACTTCTCATCAACCACTTGAAACGCGACACGCACACCGTTGACCGACAATAATGGTTTTCCTCGACTTAAAAGGAGCCTTCAATTCAGTTGACCGAACAGCTCTGTTTATTGCTCTTCACCGAAAAGTTCTGCCACAGAAGTTCAGGAATCTACTGAGATCATTGTACGTTCATACTTCTGGCCATGTAAAACTTTACGGTGAAATATCCAGTCCATTCGAAAAGACTAGCGATGTTTGAAAAAAGTGTCCCATTAGGTCATTCTTATCCGACTTGTACGTCGTCGAGATAATGGAGAAATACTAAAAAGCTGTGTGACCTTGATTACTCAGACGACCTTGTCTGCTTTTATTCGAATGCATGGAACGCGCGAAGCAAGCACTAGATAGACTCGCAATGACTGTAGATCCATTCGGCATAAGCTTTGCACCTTCAAAGTGTAAAGTGGTTGCGAGACTGGACGTCAACGGTTCCAACCTTGATGCTCGATGGGGTGGTGTCAGCAACTGTCTACCGTCTTAGTGGAGACGGCTGCAAGGTAACAACGGATGGGAGCAGAAGCATATCCCAGGCTCAAGCGGCGTACTTCGGACTGAAGCACCTGTAAAGAGGACCTGATTTTTAACTAAACTGAGCCGTGGTGCGCTTAGTTTTATGGCATGGTTACGAGACAGGATCTGCGTGTGGAAGACATTTGTGGTCTTGAGGTTTTCGACCATCAATGTTTGCGCATTATCGCTAAGATAGGACTGAATAACCGAGTGAGCGATGCTGAGGTCATGTTGAGTACTGGGTACTGGGTCAGAAAATGTTCTGTCTTGGAGTACTCAAATTGGTAGGATTCGTTGGTTAGAACACGAGTTACGAATGACAAGCGCGCGTCTACCACACCGTCTCTCGCTATCCCTTCCTCTTTGGGAGTGAAAGAAACCACGTGAAAGTCAGCAGATAACGTGGCAACGAGGAATGAAAAAATCTACAGCGAACCTAGGATAAATAAGCTCCTCACCCCTTCTAGATCACGGTCTAAAAGACCCTGGCTGGATACACTGAGAGATATAGCAGCGAACTTTGAACAGTAGCAATCGTGTTGTCACTATCTGTCTAATCAGATTGATTAATTAGAGTGTGTGTGCACAGTCAGACTATGTATTTCTTGTGTTACCTGCTAGAGTGTTCTTTCGTTTTGCATCATTTTTGGTCTACATTATATATTTATTCTTTCTATTTTTACCTGTAACATGGTGCGAAAGGCGGTGGTCAGTGGGGTTCACCCTGGTGTTTTCGCTGTACGATGATGATGATGATTGTGAGTGGCCAAAAGGAGAAGTGCTGCTGCAAACCGTAATCGAGTGCAAAATAATTGAACTACTCACCGTATATGTGTATTCAAGCATGCGTATCTGCGTGTTGCGATTTCATGAGATTGACAAGATCCCTAGGCGTTTTATCCACTTGTAGTATAATTTATAGCGTTTTTGTGTCAACTGAGTAAGAAGCGGATCGAAAATCCATAGCACTTGCTGCAGTGGGTTGTTGAAGTCTATGCCAATAGTCTAGTACTCGGCAGGAGGGTGAATATGTGGTCGACACACTCTACCTAAGCGGAAGCCTCCATACTTGGGGAGTATGTCCGCTTCCCACACCACTTATTAGTGATTCATCAACAGCACGGAGAATATGTTCGTATCCACTTCGAATAAACTGATGCCACCGTAGTTTGCACACACAGTCCTATTGACTTCCTTTTAATAGTGGAGTATAATGAAATTTCCTCGGTACACTGGGAACCATTCGTTTTCCCACATGGAGCAAATCAGATCTTGCAAGTGCTTCCCGTGATATCGTACGCGACTGTCGGTGACGGTTAGGCTGTTGAGGTCTGCTGACTGATGCGATGTTCACCGTGGTTGCTCTGCTGTCTGAGACCATATTTTTCAAAAATGTGTCTAATGGCCCCGGGTAGAGACACAAGAGCAGGCTTTCCATTCTTCCACAACAAAGAGAAAGTCACGTTTCTGAAAGCTGCGTATCACCTCACGTTATCTGTTGCAGAAATCGTTCTCTGCCTCTTCTGCGGCTGCAGCTGTCGGGGCATAGACAGCAAAGTTCGACATGTTCAATGGTGAGACGGGAAAACGAGATACAGCGATCCAAGGGAATATCGGATTCCATACAACCAGAGTCTTGTTAAGCTTGCTGGTAACAGCCATCGCGACGTCTTGTAGACAAGGACAGTTCAATAGTTCACCGTGGTGGAGTTGGTAACTGTCGTCTACTCCGGAACCTTTACACACTGGATGCCAGAATTTGACTGCTGAATTTCAAACAGACATGAAACTTCGATGCGATAATCGAGTGGCTTTAGCCCGGTAATAGTTTGGTT